CAACACACATTCACAGCTTGCAGGGAGAACCCCCGGGGGAAAATTGGACTGTTCCACCGCAGGCCCCATAAAGGTACACTCCATATACCACATGCTTCATACCCGGCAGGTTCTGTTTCTGTTACAGGCCTTATAGTCGAGGGTTAGCTAAGGTGTACCTTCATTAGGGACCCTGTGCAATAGTGGATCCTGAATCTGATCCTCATGACTTCCATGACCTCACCTTTTGAGCCACTGGCAACATGTCCTTTGTTCCAGCTTGTAACAGGGAGCCTAGGGCTCATTCTTTCTATTTAAAATACCATGTTGCAGATAGATCCCAGGCAGCTGAATAGCGAGGCTAGCTGAAAGAGAGTAGGCAGCAAAGAAACACAGCTGCCTAGGCATGGAGCTGCACATTAAGGGAAAGGGGAACACCTGCAGCCAGTCAAAAGAACACAGCACAGAATATGCTGGCTGCAAGAGTACAGGCAGCTAGCTGCCCGGAGACTATGAGTGCCTATTGCAGAACCTAGCTTACCTAAAAGACTGCAGAGGAAAGAGCTCCAGAGCAGGGGGATGCAGAGGAGCTTCCAAGAGATACTGCTGCTACCCTGGGCAGACAGGTAAAATGCTGCTAGCTGGCAGCAGCATAGGGCTTAGGGAAGGGGAAAGCTTTGGAAATCAGCTGAGGAGCTGATGTTTGGGTTTGGACCAGGTGAGGCATTTGTGTTATAGCCAGGGGGATTATTTTTCTGTTACAGTTATATGTGTGGACCAGGTTGGAATTGATAGGGGAGGTAGGAGGTCCCAGAGTGGTGTGAGGCATGGGCCTGCCAGGGCAGGGCCCCAAGCTGCAGTGTAGCCCAAGAGGGTCAGAACTAGGTCCAAGACCCAGACTCCAGCAAGAGAGTAAGAGAAAGAGACAGGGCCAAGGACCCAATGTCCAAGAGGGGTGGAGTCAGAGTCAAGAATCATAGCACCCAAGAGGGGCAGCGACTACAGCCAGGAGCCCACAGCCCAAAAGGAGCTGAGTCACACAAGGGATGGAGAAGCCCACTGAGGTGGGAGATGAGACTGGGGCCAAGTACCCACCGAACTGCTTGATTGGTAACATCTGTGAGGCATGGACATGGTTATAGGGAAGGTGGGAGGCCAAGAAATTAGCCCAAAAGGCAACAGGTGCCTGGGGGGGTGGGCAGGTATGGTCCAGGAGAGCCAATTTAGTGAAAGGGATATGCTGACAGGAAGACAGATTAGGGCTCACTGTAGGATCCATGGACTGCTTCCCCTTTCAAATTTAAGAATATCAAAGTGTGGCAGGTAGAAGTGAAGGGAAAGACCCTAGAGCCAGATATCAGCAGGAGCCACAGAGCCACCACTGGGCATCACAGCTACCCTTGGGGCTTAGCACTGTTAAACAGCTATTTATGAAGATGGCATTCAAGCATAGGCAGATTAATACGCTGGCCAGCTGGGCATGAGCCCAGGGGCCTGTACCATTTGGGGCCCTGGCCCTGGGATCCTCAGCAGAGAAGTGAAAGCCATAGTTTTAAACGCACCCATCTTTGGTGCAAAGTTTAAAACTGCTGCTTACACATTTCCTTCCCTGGGACCTGGAAGCGAGGCCCCTCCATCAATGGGACTGCAGGGTAGGGCCCACAAGGCTGGGGTCTGGCTGGGAGAACCAGCCCCCAGTCTGGGGGGAAGGGATGGTTGGTTGTTTTCTCAGCCTGACGAAGGGTATTTGTACCTGAAAGCTTGCAAAGAAGAAATTTTCCAATTATGTGAGCTGGTGTAATAAAACATATCAGATTTACCCAAAGAACCTTGTCTGACTATGTCCTTAGACCAACACAGCTACAACCTACACCCCTGAAACTTGGTAAGTTCCAGGCTTTTATGAAAATCCTCTGTGAACTGCCTTTTATCCAAATAAAGTAGTTCTCAGGACCCACCCAAAGTTCCTGCTTACAGTTGTCACTAAATTCCCCTGGAGTCATCAAGTATTCTTACCAACTTTTTCCCCAGTGTCTAGTACCTCCCAAGAGGGGTTTTCTCTGTGGCCCCTTGATGTTAAAAGAGTACTGATTTACTGCTTGCATAGGACTAAATTATTTCCTAAATTCCTCCCCCCTTTTTGCTGTAGCTGAAAGATCTAAAGGCTTAGATAATAGCCCAGAGAATACCTGGCTTGGTATTAAACTAAATGAAGTTGTGCTATGAAATTGCCAAAGAGACCTGCCCTTGATTATATGTTCCCATTCCACCAGACTTCAGGTCACCTCTTCAGGCTCCCTTTGCAGTGTTTTAATTGCTGACATCTGAAGCTCTGCCCATACCTTTGCAAACCACTACGCCATTAGGAAATCCTTTAAAGTAGATGCTGCATTTGGCAGGGTGGTCCTTCAGATTTCTGTTCACCTATGGGACTCCAAGACATACTTTCAGATATATATAGGAACTGCTTTGGAACCACTCACTTTGAGAATTTGTAGATGGACAAATATTCAAAGAAGAAAAGGAAGTTACCTGAGCTCTTTGAGACGCATTATCCATATAAACATTTGAACTTAAACCTCCTTCCTCTCTTCCTCAAACTCATGAGTTATAGAGACTCCCTTGTAATGAGGGAACTGTAAGGCAGGAAGTGCACACTGCCTTTGAATCCCTTGGTGTACAGAGGCCATCTGGAGTTGGGACTAGAGCACATTCCACAGGCAAAAATAGTCTGTGGTCAAAGACTTCAGGGGCTGAGCAAGAGAGAATATGTATATCAGCAGTTCGTCTGAAAAAGCTCCTGTTACAGCGAGTAATTGGTTCCACTCCAGCCCCACAATAACTTCAGCATCTTCAAGATTCCCATCTTGTGGATTCTTTTCCAAACACATATATCAATGTAGTGCTAATACGCTTTGGAAAACTTAGATGCATTTACACAGAGCTCATTCAGGAACAGGCAGTGGCAGTGATTTTTGCATTACAGTGTCTTCCATCCATTATGGCACTTTCTTGGTGCCTCATAGAGCAAAAAAACCCTTTTCTTCCCTTACACTACTTACTAGGGGTGTGCGAAGCTTTGGTCACTGATTCAATTTGGAGGAGATTCGTCCCGATTTGGTGGCTGAATCTCTGAATTGAATCAGGAGACCTATTAACCTCTCCGAATCGAATTGGATGCCTCCGAATCGATTTGGAGAGATTCAGGCATAGACACAGGTTTATATGTTTTTTCTGTGTACCTTGAGGTACCAGGCATGGCTCATGAACGCTGATGGTGTGGCGGATGGAGCATCCCATGGAAGTGTGGGGGGATCCTCCATGCACTCAGTGGTAGACCTGGAAGTGGACCAGAAGTACTTCCAGTCCACTTCTAGGTCTGCCATGGAGCTCATGGGGGACCCCTCTGCCAACCCCCGGTTCGGCTACTAGTGCCTCCTGGGTCTGGAGGAGCACCCAAGGTCCCTCTGCGACTGATCGCTGAATCAGGGAAGTGCGGGGGGGTCCCCCGCGTGTTTGGTGGTGGACCCAGAAGTGGACCGGAAGTACTTCTGGTCCACTTCTGGGTCTGCCACGAAGCGCACAGGGGACACCCTTGTGCTCCCATGGGATGCTCCATCCACCCCACCATCTCAGCATTCACAAACAGCGCCTGGTACCTCGAGGTACGTAGAAAAAACATAAAGCTGTGTCTATGGTCAAATCACTGATTCTCTGAAACAGAATCGAATCTTCAGATTCGGTCAAGTCAAATCGGGACAGTGATCTGAATCAGTGAATTGCATCACTGTCCCACGGATCAGGCCAAATCTGAATCAAATACTGCCTGCTTGGCATACCCCTACTACTTATATTCTGCATCAAAAACAAAAGAGAAAGAAACAACTGAAACACAGATGGGAAAGCTGTCCCCATAAGCTCCCACTCAGATTCCCTTGTGAGTTGGCCTTTTGGCTAGCTTCTGGTGTCCTTATTCCTTGTGACCAATGACTGATGAGAAGTCAGCCACCTTGTTTTATAAGCTGAACTGCTGAGGACTGAATAGACTACCTCTGCATGTACCTGTTGGAGTGGTTGGCACATTTAGGGCTGAGGCACGTGGGCAGAATCTGGGTATGCACATATCATAGATTTAAACTGCCACAACCTGATATGATCCTGGCACGCATTCCTGCCTGGGGCAGGGGCTCGAACCTGATGATCTGTTTAGGTCCCTTCCGACCCTAAGTACTATAAAACTGCTACGGCTATTCTGTCTGTAAACAGAAGATTTCACACTCAGCTCAATACTTTTAATCTATTCAGAAATCTCTTCTTCCTTCTATTTTCAGTTGCTGTGCCTCTGTTATTATGCTGAGATGACTTGTGTTAGAGGTTGGAAAAGGAGAAATGTTATGGGAAATGTCTACTTTTTTCAGAGTAGAGAGGTTTTGGTTCATAGCTTCACGGTTGTTAGGGGCTGGAAGGGACCTTACAGATCATCGGGTCCAGCCCCTCTGCACTTGGGTGGGAAAGACTGCTGGGCTCAGATGACCCCAGCTAGATGGACATCAAGACGCTTTTTGAAGATCGCCAGGGTTGGTAACTTCTTATTTGTAGCCAATATTTAGGCCCAAGACAAAGATTTATAGTGGAGGTGGAAGAGGTTAGTCCCTTATGTTGCACTGAGTAGTATGTAGTATGAGAGGATGCTGGCTTATCAGAAAAGTTGTGGTATTTATTTGGTGGGGAATCTCTTCCTGTCACATGAGGACTGGGTTAACTGAGAAAGAAGCTGCTGTGGGAAACAAGATTTTGCTGGCCCTGGGGCATATACATCAACTGGGACCAAACAGACCTGTCTTATGAATGTTGCTGAATTGTAGTTAGCAGGGAGGATTTCTGTGGTATTGCTTTGACCCCATCCACTTCTGCCCTCCTTGTGGCATTTTTCATACTCTCCTTGTGTGTGTGCGTGTGTGTGTGTGTGTGTATGTCCACATATCTCTCTTCGTCTGCCTCCCTGTCTCCATTTTGTCCAGCGGGTGATCCGGGGCCGCAGCCAGAGCCTGGATACTATGGGTATGGCCATGAGGAAACAACAGCAGCCAGCAACCCCACCAAACCGCCCGGGTACAGCTGGCCTTGCCCTCAACCAGAGTGTCGCCGAGGGCCCCAAGGCTATTGCTGCGGTAAGGTACTAGGGTGGGCTGTGGGAAGAGGCCCAACACCTCTGTTTCATCCATACATTCATCCCTCTTTCCCCACCAGTGGATTTTTGCAGGGGGGCAGACTTATTGTGTCACTGTTATTCTGCATGCATCTTTTTTTCTCTGTGTCTGTCTTTTTTGTCTGTGATTTCTTTCTGTATCACATTCATATATATACTGGAGCTGGGATTTGTGTAGAGCATAGGAAGAAGGGCAAAGACAGCTTTACATCACTCTTATGCCTCCATTACCCTGGACTAGTCATAGGACTGAGGGTTGCTCTAACTTTAAGAAGGTATTAAGAGAACTAAGAACTTCAGGATACCAAAAAAATCCAAGTTTTTAGTTTTATCAGTCAAACTGGTTACTTTCTTATAACTACAAAACATCTATTCAAGATATTCCTTAGTACAACAACATAAATCATTCAGTGGACCAAATGCTCTGAGATGAAAAGTGTTTGCAGTAAGAGAAAAGTTGAACAAGGCACTACGAAGCCCATTCTTTTACTTGATGTGACTGTAAATGACCCTTGGGCAGTGTCACATTATAAACTCATTACTGGTAAAATCTTCCACTCAGAAATATGTGAATGTTCCTGTGGGGTCAGTAGACTTAATTGGTTTGCACAGAAAGTTCACGTTTATGTTACAAATGAGTATATTGTAAGCCTAAAATGTATTGCCACAAGAGGATTATGGTTTCTCATTTGGAAAATATGGTTATACCTGGCTACCTTTGGTTCTGGCAAAGGTGGGGTACAGGGGGGAGTGGGGAGTGCTGGCCTTTGCCCCCCCAAGAAGCACCGGCTGCACTTCCAGTTTGCTGCTAGCGCTTCCAGGGTTGACGATCAGATGCTGGGGGACTCCCCCCACCCCCGGTCTGTGATCGCTTGCTGGGGGACACCCCCTCCTGCGGCGATTGGCCACTGGTGCCCCACAGAGCTAGGAGGCACCAGTTGCCCATGGTTCTTGCTATAGAGCATGGGTGCTCCACCTCCGGCCCACTGGCCAAATACAGCCTGAAGAGCCTTGGCATCCAGCCCATGGGGCTCCCCCCAGTTTTGGAAATTTGGTGGCAAGGGAGCAGTGGTCATTAATATGGTTGCCTTTCCTGCCGCACCAAATTCCCAAGCCCTAAGCCCTGCACAGCCCATTGGAGTTGAGTTGCGCTCACTTCCTCCATGGGGCTGGACTACACCCCCTCCCTCTGCATCTGAATTGGGACCAGGCCACACCCCCTTTTCTCCTTCTTCCCTCTGCCCCCCCGCTGTAGGGCCCAGGCATGTCCCCTTTCCCCTGCAGAGCCAAGCCATGCTCCCTTTTCCCTGTAGGCCTGTCTTGGGACTGGGCTGACCCTTGCCCCCCTCCACATGGCTGAGTGATGCCCACCACACCCACCCCAGGTGCTGGATGGGGACCACTGCTTGGATCTGACCCGTGGGCAAATGGGGCATTACCCATCTGGCCTGTGTGGGGTGGGGTGGGGAAGGTTGAGTACCACTACTATAGAGGGCTGCATACAGTCAAGGACACCAGTTCTGGGTCAGCCAGGAAGGACCCTTTCACTTGGGGAAATTATCCAGGGGACAATTTTCCCAGCTTTACAGACATTTCAGGCCAAGCAGTACATAAGTCGATGATGAACTGGGTCTGTTGCCTCTTCATCTCTCTGTCTTGTCTGAATCTCCCTCTTTGTGCCTGAGTCATTTCTTCAAATGTACATTTATCCCCGCCTTCCAAACTCGCTGCATCTCTTCTCTCTCTCTCTCTCTGTCTCTCTCTCTCTGTCTTTCAGCTACTGTAACTTCTCTATCTGTCTTTCCATTGCTCCCATGCCATATCCCTTCTCTCTCTTTGCAACTATGTTGATCTCTCCCCCCTCTTTCTTACTGACAGCTTGTGTGCATCATCCCATCAGGCTCTGATGCCTTGGGTTGCTCTGGACAGTGTGATCACACAGGAGAGGAAATGTAGAGGAGGCTCAGGGATTCAGGCCAGAAACTACCTCTCAGTTTCCAGCTCTCTGCAACTTTGCCTCTCCTGTTCTCCTTTTCCCTTTCTATCACTTCTTTCTTCACCTTTTCTCTAGTCTTTTGCCCTACCTGGAAGGAGTCCATCACGTACCCGAGGCAGCCGTTTCCACAGTCGACGCAGCAGTGCTATTGGCATTGAGAACATCCAGGAGGAGAAGAGGTATAACCCATGGAAGCAGGGAGGGGCCAGGAAAATTAGACAAGGGTAACATGATCAAGGTAGTATTGAGGAAAAATTAGGCAAAATGAGAAAGGGGAGACAAAATGAGAATGATAAAGGAGAGGTGGAACCAGAGAACTGGAATGGGAGTGAACTGACATGGGAAACTGGGGAACTAATGGGAAACAGAAATGGAAAGAGCCAACAGGAGGACTGTGAAGGGAGAGATAGAGTAAATGAAAGGCAGTGGACAATAGAAGACAAGCCCTTTGTCTAAGGGCTCTGACAGATGTGTAGGCCCCCACTCTGACTCATGGTGCATTACATGAAGTGCCATGAGTTAGAGCAGCCACCCTGACCCAACAGATGTTTGCCTGTTGGGTGTGGGGCAGGGAGTGGGGATCAAGCTCCACTTTGGAGCTGATCAAGCCCAAGGAACCTGCCTGCAGCCCCTCCCCCCTAGCTCTTCCCCCCACCCCAGGAAAAGGGAGGGGGAGCAAGCTTCGGGCTGGGGTTTGCCCAGCCTGAGCTGGAGGGGAGAGAGTTGGGGGGGGCATGAGGCAAGGGAGCTCCAATCCACCCCCAGCCCAGCTCAGTTAGCAGGCAAACCGCAGCCCACAACTCACTCCCCCTCTGCGCTCCCCCATCCTTTCCTGCAGACAGCACTGGAGGCAGGGTGGGACTGCAGCAGCCTAGCCCCAGTCACAACAGATTGACCCTAGGGAACAGAAGTTCCCTCAGGTGCTCCAAAGTGGAGTGCCCTCCTATGATCTGTCACTTGATGAGGGTTAATTTGTTGTGCAATCAGCCACTTTTAAAGCACTCTGCAGCCATGCACCTGTGTCATGGCATGGCTGTACAGTGCTTTCAAGGGGCTGGTTGCTTAACAAATACAACTTCTGTTTGCGCCCTAGGAGAAAATACAGGATAATTCAGGATAGCTGCTCCTCCTGTTAAACATGCATTGTAAAAAAGAAAGCAACCTTTAAGCTGTTTTCAAGTAGAGGAGAATGGAAGAAAAAGAGAAAGTGGATAATCTTTTGGCCTTCTAAAGAAGTGATTGTGTCATTTTTCTCTTGATGGCTTTAAGCAGATGGACTTTAAGCACAATGCCTGAGGCTTGGGAGTTGCAGACTAAAAAGAGGTCTCATTGGGTGCATCTACATATGCATTTTACTGAAGTCGACTAATTAGGTATGTAGTAAAGTGTCACTGTTTACATGTGTGCTGGTATTAGGGCACAGTAAATTAATTAACTCTGCCATAAAATAGTACTGTCAGTCAGAGACAGTACTAACTTATGGCACAGTAATTAAGTGTGATGAAATGCATGTGTAGATGGTGACATGAGCTAGCTGGAGTATGAGGGTGCAAAAGTGTGGGGCCTGCCTGGCACACAGCTCAGTACTTTAGTATTCTTGTACCCCAGCCAGCCCAGGGCTAACCCCATGAGTCTGCTGCTAGCCCAGGGCAGCTCCACCCTGGCTCAAACTGCTGCTGTCCGAGGTGTATGTGTAGACACTGTGTCTAGGAGCAGTTGACTGTAGCTCAAACTGCTCTGGAGTTTATTGTGTTGTGTTATTTTCATGTATAGATGCACTCAGTGAGGAGCATCATGTGGCTTTGTCCCAGGAGCAGCAGCTGGATTTAATTTGACTGAGTTATAAGCATTGAAAAGTTGTAACCTAAGCAGTAGAAGCCATTTATACCCCTTCATGACATACTGCACTTCAGTTGTCAAGTGTGTTCTAAACTCAAAGCCCAATGCCTTAACTACTCTGCAACTAACATGAAATTTTTCCGGTTGTTCCATGAAATCCAAGAACCAGCCTATAGTGTCAATATGGAAGAGGAGAAAACCTTACTTACCCATCATAAGAACAGCAGCATTGTCACAAGGAACAGGGCCTATGCCTTTTTAACCTCTCCTACTACCCTTACCCTCCCTTTTAGGCCTTTACCTAAGGAAGATGCTCAGTCTTATTTTAATTTAAGAGAATGTAAGTTTTCTTTTGAGAAGGATTAGATATTGAGAAGCAAGTTCTCTTTAACAGAACATATAAACCAAAAACTATTACAGTACTCAGTTTTTTTGAAGCTTACCTTTTGCTTCTCTTATATAGAAAGTCTCTATATATAGATATAGATATATAGATATAGATATATATATCATGAATCCCAAGCTTAGACTTCCATGCTTTTGGATGCCTCTTTGGCTGAACCTAGTGTGACTACCTTTTTAGAATATAAAGGTGGGACACATACCTACCTCTTCACCCCCACCACCCCCACCTGCCGGCAGAACAGCTGGAGCAGAGCTGAGCAGCGCGGGGATGGATGCGGGTGCCCACTGTGGGCTTGGGGCTCTCTGCTTTGCTGCCCTCTCCTCAGGAGCCCTGTGCCACCATGGCACCTGCCTACCTGGCAGCAGTGGGGGGCACAACTTGCTGTCACCGTCACTCCTGCTGCTGCCGGGGAGGCAGGGGGTGCCTCATCATGGTGGCATGGGACTCCTGGGGGAGGGTAGGAGGGGAGGGAGCCCCAAGAGCTCATAGCATGCAGCCTGCATCCACCCCTACCCTCCACACAAATCTAGGGGGCACAAGGTATGCACAGTGGCAGGCAGCTACCCACCCCCATGGCCCGCACCCCCTGGATGAGCCACCCATGGGTCTGCTCTGCTCCACTCCCAGGCCCCTGGCCCCATCCACTGCCCTCGCTAGTCAGCACGCCCAGCCCCTGCCCCACTCACTCCCTAACCATGAGGGCCTAGATTTGCATCCCACCCCCTGCCCCATGCTCTTCCTATGTCCCCTCCCACCATAGACTTTCCTGCAAGGAGCTGCTCTCCACACTGCCCAGCTGTATTTCCGGCCACGTGCATGTGTGCCAGCCTGCAAGGGGAAACCTGGATCCCTGCATGATGCTGTGAATCCTAGACGAAAGCTGTCCCAGGGTCATGCAGCCCAGGACCAGAACTCGAGGCTCCCATTCTGGGACTGTCCCATTCAATTAGGGATGGGTGTTCACCGTAGATGACCCTGAGATTGGGACTGGGAGTTTTTTTAAGCCACAATTAAAGAAGTCACAATACTAAATGGCCTATACTGTGAGCTTCTCTCACAAGTGTCTTAGTTAAATAGCTATCAACCAAAATGAAAGAAGGTTAACTAATTTTAAAGAGAAAACCAAGGACACACTCAATCAGATGTCACAACTTTGGAATCTTTAATGTTCCAATCATAATAAAACAGGGCTGGAAGGGACCTCAGGAGGTCATCTAATCTAACCTCCTGCTCAAGGCAGGATCATCAGCACTCTTTTCTTGAAGTGCAGTGCCCAAAAATAGAGGGGTTTTTTTTTAAATCCAATTCATGGCTTTTTATTCATTATAAAGAACCCTAAAAGGGACTAGTCCCAATACATTTTATCTTTGCAGGTCACTTTTAAGAAGACTGTCCTGTTCTGTAATGTTCCTGCCTGTTTTCCATCTCTGTGTTGCTGAAAGATCTCTGCATTTTGCAGTGTAGAGAGCATTAGATTTCATGATTGTGACTCCTGGCCCTTGTTTTTAATTTCATTCCAGTAAGGATGTTGCTGAGGGGATCCAGAAGGTGGTTGATAGTCCAGGACCTTTACTTGACCTGAAGTCTGATGGATCCTCCAGTCCCAGTTCCCCAGAATTCCCAAATAGGAAGAGCAAGTGAGTCTAAAATCACCTTTCAGGACACGCACTTGTTGCCCCTGGCAGAGACTTGTGCTTTGCAAGTATCTTGCTTTCTTAGTTCTCTTACACTGTTACCTTGAATGGAAAAAATGTCATCTGAATTGGTGCAGGCAGGAAACAGAAGGCATATATCTTGTGTTCTATTCCTACCTGAAACTGCCTGTGAATGAGTCATTTCCTGTATTATTGTAATAAAGTCACATCACAAGTGGTGTGAGGCTGTTAATGTCTGTGCAATTCTTGAGTAATCTTGGGTGAATGATGCTAAATGAGGTCTGCATATCACAATGATGATAACTCTGGGGCTTCGGTTCCATAGAACCCTCTCCAATCAAAGCTCAGGATATTGTGTGATGCAGCCACTCTCGCGCTCCTCTTCCAATGTGAGCAGCTGTTGTAGTGGAGTGAGGGAAAATGAAACATCTGAGGAAGAGGAGAACGAGACGGTGAGTATATAACCTCTAAAATTCAGATTCCCTTCCCTTCATACTCAGGGTCTCCATCTCCTGCTCACACCAAATTCTAGACTTACCCCTCCCCTAGAGCTTCCCCATTCTTAGTACTAATGATTACAAAATGCATTTTTAAAACACCTCTTTTCTATCCTGTTTAGGAGCTGATGTGCTCTGTCTCGGGCCCTCAGAAGCGGGATTCCTTGGTTCAGAGTGTGTGGCTGGATGACATTGTCTGTACACCCAGCAGTGGCAGTTCACCAGGTAAAACCGTGCTAGAATGGGAGGGCAACAGAGAGATGAAGTTCAGTAACAAAGGAACGGAGAGCTGGAAAGGAGAATCACACCAGTGAGGGACACTAGAGAAGTGGGCAGGGAGGTAGTTATGATGGATATATTTCAGTGAATGTCTCAACCTTCAGATCCTAATAGGATATGCGGGGTGTAAAAGCCTGGATACATACTGGAGAGAGAGAGGGTTGCTACAGATTGAGCCTCTGGCCACATGGAAGTCTGTAGCCCCTGCCTCCAGTCCAGCACCTCCCTTTACTGAGTATAGGGGCTCATGTGCCATTTATGCCTCCTCAGCCTCCTCTTTTAGAGAATCCCAGTTTCCTGGCCCCAAAGGTCCCATCTGCTCACCCTCTCCCAGTCACAGTTTCTCTGTTCACCTTTCCAGTTTTAGACTCTGGATAGAGCGACACACTTTTCCATAGTTTTTTGTTTTCTTTAGAAATTGCTGTATCATTTTGGTTGAGGTTTTCTTAAAATTCAGCCTGAATTAAACATCCAGGCTGCATCTACACAAGGGGCTACTGCACAGTGACAAATGCACATTTATTTAGTAGTTGTATAAACAGGTACTAAATGACTGCGCAGGGGTGTTGGTTATAGCCATGTTGGTCTAAGGACATAGGTAGACAAAGTTCTTTGGGTATCATAGAATCGTGGAAATTAAGGGCTGAAAAGGACCCTGACAGATCATTGAGTCCAACCCCCTGCTGTGGGCAGCAACACTGCTGAAATCAAGTGATCCAAACCAGGTGTGTATTCAGTCTCCTCTTGAAGACTTCCAAGGTCGGGGACTGCACCATCTCCTTGGGAAGTCTATTCCAGATTCTGGTCACCCTTACTGTAAAGAAGTTCTTCCTTGCATCCAACCAGACACCATCCTCTAACAGTTTATGGCCATTGCTCCTTGTCCTCCCCTGGGGCACCCTAGTGAACAGTTTTTCTCCCAGCTCCTGATATTCACTCCTTAGATACTTATAGGTGGCCACCAAGTACCCTCCAAGTCTTCTCTTCCCCAGGATGAACAGTCTCAGATCCCTTAGTCTTTCCTCATAAGGTTTGTCCTCCCAGCCCTTAATCATTTTTGTGGCCCTTCTCTGGACCCTTTCAAGATTCTCCACATCTTTTTTGAAGTGCAGTGCCCAGAACTAGATCAATCTGTTATGGATTCTCTTCTAAAGGAGCTACAAGGACCAGTTACAAGAAATGACCTGGGAAACAGAAGGGTGTGCTGTTTATCAGGAATGAAGATATGGGACACAAACCTAAGGCTGAAGAAGATACTAATGGGAGCAGGGAAGAAGCTGTTAATTCGTCTTTATGTGAAAAGAAATGATATAACTGGATATTTGCTGACAAAGATAAAGAACAACGATACTAGGCTGGGGAAGACCCTTAGAAAACCTAGAAGCTCAAGTTATCCTCAGTAGGATTCTTTCCTGCTCAAGAGGAGAGAGAAAGCATAACAAGATAATGAAGATAAATGAATGGTTTATGGTTTTGGGATGCATGACCTCTGACAGGCATTTACACATAAAGAGCTTCTGTCCAGGGATGGGCTGCACTTGAATAAGTGAGGAAATAGCCAGTTGGGATCAGGGCTGGTCCAACTTATAAGAGCTTTAGGAACTCAGGATTGGGAGAATTCTGAAAAATCTCCACACTGAGGATAAGCATTGAATAGGACTTAGTCTGGAAAATAAGAAAGTGGCCCAAGAAGGAAGGGCACCAAAGTGTGAAAGAGTGGTCATAGGCATTAGCATAAGTTGTTAGTATAAATAAGGTGGTCACACACATTCCAACCAATACTGAAATCTCCCAAGCTCTGCCGTTGGAGCCCTCCTCAGCAGCAGGCAGCTCCCAGGGGCAAGGAGCAATTTCCCAGATGCTGCTCCAATCAGAGCTGGGGCCAGAAGTTCCCTGCTGCCAGGGCAGGGGGACATTGTCCCAGCCCAGGCTCCACCATCAGAGCCTGCCATGGCAGGAGGCAGCTCTTGGGAGCAGGGAGCAATCTCCTGGCCCCTGCTGCCTGGCTGACCAGGAGCAAATTTGCTTCTGGTTGTCCATCTACACGTGTGTTACTGTGCGGTAACTAGTCTTCAGTTAATTTCCTATCTGCATTTGCAGATAGCAAATTAACTGAGGAGTAGACCAATTTACTCCAGAGTAAGCATCTGCATGTGTGGATGGTGATGCCTACCATGCAGTAAATTGGTCTACTGTGCAGTAAAGCATCTCGTGTAGACATGTCCATAGATGACCAAATTCATATTTGGAAATGAATACAGTGCTCTACAAGGTCTTGGATGCTCCCTCTGCTTGAAGAAGTGTGCATGTACCTGAAAACCTGCAAAGAAGAATTTTCCTAATTATTTTGTTTGGTCTAATAAAATGACTGTACAGTAACCTGAGTTGTGCAGTAGTGCCTGAGAACACCTTTTTTGAGATGCTGCTGTGCACTAGCCTAATATTACTGCGCAGTAGCGTTGCATCACATTTTGTCTCACATAATGCTACTGCACAATAGTATCAGGCTACTGTGCAGTCAGCATCTCCTGTAGACGTGGCCCCTGTATGGAAAATATTAGCTCAAATATCTGGAAAGTGATAAGCAACTGAAAATAATTTTATTGGACGTGTCATCCAATCTTACCCACCTTCCATTTTCATCTGTCATTCCCATTTAGTATGTTTTCCTTGGGGGGGTGGGGTATGTCTCTACTTCAATAACTGCAGTCATTGTCACATAGACCAAAGCTAGATTTAAATAAGCTATCTCCATATCAATATCAATCTAGCTACAGTAGCACAGAACTCAATGTGGATGAAGAACTGGAGGACTTCTCCATTTTCTTTAGCAGATTTTGCATCCTGCACTAGAATCACAGTCACAGCAGTTACTGCAGTGTAGCCATGCTGATTAGTATGCCTGTAGCACACTTGACAAAAAGGGTGCCCACCACTGCTCTATACGTTAAGAGTCAGTGGGTGAGGAGATTGGGACTTGGACAGCAAGCTGGGATAAGGAGACAGGAGTTGGAAGGAAAAGATGGAGAACTGAACACTGGGACTACAAAGGCAAATACTTTATCTGGGGATGGAGCTCTAGGCACCAGTGTCTCAACAAAAAGCAAAAATTTCCCTACCTGTTAGGATAGATAGCAGCACTGATATTGGTGTTAATGTAAGGAATGGCATCAGGCTTCAGCATCTCTGTAGTAACAGTGGTGTAGCCTTCTGTGCAGTACCAAGTGCTAGGAGCAATACTTGGATCCTATCTTTTCTGTCTTGCAAGATATTAGTAGCAGTAGTGGAGAAGAGATAATGTGAGGTATGTGGCAGGAGAGGAAATACACAGAGTGCTAAGGTTCAGGCCCCCGGAGGTACATGACAGACTGAATCCTGGAAGAGGAGTTAGCTCCAAAAGGTCTATTGTTAATGCAGGGGAAGGAGCGGAGCCACACTGGAGGACTGGTTTTAAGAACTGTGAGAGAACCACAGAGCTTGGCTGGTATTAGCGGTGAATTGTGTGTATGGAAACTAAGGTGGCTGGCATAAGGGACAAAGGCTACGAAGAAGTAGACAGCTGAGGGGGGTGGTGTTAAGGAGCAGAGGGAAGAAGGAACCTCAATAAGGTGTGATGTTTGTGGTCAGAGAGGAGATTTTGGCACCTAATCTCTCTCTCATTTCTGGGAGCTGTCATGAGCTTTGGAAGGCTACCAGGAATTCAAGCTTCTTTGCCATTAGTTCTCCCTTCTGGGAGATTGGCTTGATCTCGGGCTTTGTATGAGGATCCCCCAGAATAAGAGCCTCTTATTATCTAGTGGATCATGGACTTTCATTGCTATCAAAAGCAGTACCAGAGAAGGGATTTGGTAATTTCATTTAATAGATTTCATAGACATTAGGGCTAGAAGGGACCTCGGAAGATCATCGAATCCAGCCCTTTGCCCCAAGGGCAGGAAGTCAGCTGGGGTCAAAGGATCCCAGCAAGATAAGTGTCCAAACAGGTTCATCTGTAATCAGTGCTTGAAGTGTTGTGTTGTGAAGTCAAAAAGACCCAAGTTCAAACACCTCTGTGGGTGAGGAAGGGACTTAGAAGCCAGGTTCTCCTGTTTCTCATGTGAATGCTCTATCCCAGCAGTTGACAATGTTTTCTAGCAGCAGGCCAGAATGCCCCAGATCAGGTCCAATGCTGGCCAGCACTAGGACACCTGGCCATGGCATGGTGAAAACTACCTGGTGCAGGAATGCGACTAAAGCTCCCCAATTCCATGGGCTATAAGTTGCAGACCCCTGTCCTAGCCACTTAGCTATGGGATTGGAGAAGATGGGGAGTCTCATCCAACCTCTGGTTCCTGAGTCTAAGCATGGTAATCCATGATCACACAGATTCTAGTGAGTTTAGTTTTAGGTGTCTAAAGCAGTGTGCCTGCGCTACTGTTGAGCATACCCAGTCTGAATGCATATGTAGTCATCCATATGCCCAGGGCTAGGTGTCAAGGAATAGAATTCCGCCTGGGTATATAAATGCCAAAAATGCCATGTAAAGGACCAAAAATTGACCATTTAGATGACTAGGCAGAAAATGACACCCTTTGTGACACAATGCACAAGCAGTCATCCAAAATCATGGAAGAGAACTTGCCAGAAAAGGCATCAAAGAACAAGGAAACTGGATGCTTTGGAGGATGGAAGCTGACACCTGATCACTTCTGACTCCCAACCATGAAGTCAAATAAAAGATGAAGCAAGGGAGTTGAGCTTTCTCTGCTATTGGAAGAGGCAAAGCTGTGCGCCCCCAAAGCTGGCAGGATTAAGGGTACCAGCTGCAAGATGAAGGTAAGAGTGATGGTGTTTGGCAACACCCTCATGCAAAGCACAGAGGCCTCTGTCTACCAACTGAACTTGCTGTCTGAGGCAGTCTGCTGCTTAACAGGAGCCTGAACCTGAGATGTTTCTAAAGGCTTGCTGATATTCACCCAGCCCTCTGCCTACTACCTCAAACAGCTCATTCACATGGGCACTAATACTCCTGCAAGGGGTGACCCTGATGAGATCAAATGTGACTAGAGAATGCTGGGTGCAAGGATGAAGGGGCAGGAGCTCAGATTGTATTCTCACCTGTCAGGGGTTAAGGTCCAAGCAGAAGTAGATATACGTCAACACAGGGTTGCACAGATGGTTTTACCTGCAGTGCTTTGGCTTCCTTGCAGAAAGAAGACCTGCTGAGCAGAGATGCAAAAGGACATCTTTGCATATATACTTGCTAAACCAGATTCAACGATGGGATGGAGGTGTAAATAAAAAGCAGGAGAACCTGGACAAAAACCCAGTAAAAGGAGATGATATGGAGAGTCTTAACAAGGTAGTAAGAGAGAAATTATCAGGGCAATTAGCTACTCATCTAAGATCTAATACAAGAAGTATGGGCCAGGGAGGAGTGTGGTGTGGCTTGGATCCATGGGCTGTTCTCTTAAACATCCTCTCGTGTGATGATCATACTGCCTAAAGCCATTCAAGGCATCAAAGCCTGATAGGATGATGTGTACAAGTTGCCAGTAAGAAAGAGAGGACAAGGGTCAACACTGATGCAAAGAGAGAGAAGGGATACAGAGTAGGAGCAATGGAACATGGAGAGGAAACCTGGAAACCTCAGGCACTTGACTGAGTCAGAGCAAACTTGTTTTTCACATACTACTATGTACCCAGATTGAGCAAAGATATGTTTTATTCCTTTTTTTCCTTGTCCTGATTACCTTTTCCTCAAAGCAAACCTTAGGAAAACGTTTTTGAGAATCTCCAGGCTTCTGGAGTTTGTTGACCATAGAATCCTAATGGACTCTATGATGTCATCATGCCTAATGATCTGAGTGACATCACAGTGGTAAACAAGAGATCAGAAAAAGAAGGAAGAAAAAGTCTGCGGGAGAATTTGAGTCTGCTGACAGGAAGATACTCTTTTCTAGAGAAGGTAGGGGGGTTTTAGATGTAATGTGGTCAAGCCAGAGAGTAAATGAATATAAGAAATGGGCTTTTTGAATGGAATGGAATGTAAAGAAAAAAATTAGGGATGGACTGTTTCTTTATTTAAATTTACACGTGTACTAAAAAGACACCTATCCATATACTCTCGGCACGATTGATTTAAGGTAAAACTTAATTAAAAAGGTTTGAATGCAGTATTACAACTTAATATTCCTAGACTACAGAGATGGACTAATGGATACATATTTGGGGCGCAGCTGTACATGCATTAATATGCCTTTTCTAATTAGCATTAAATTTAGTACCTCTGATGTGAGGTACTAAATTAACGTGCATTATGCTGTGCTAATGCACAGTAGTGCATTTGCATGCTTTTTTGGTGAAACTTAATGCACAGTAGACTATTTTACTGCACATTAGTGTAATGTCACAATTTTTTATGCAACCTTTTAATGCACAGTAGAATAATCTACTGTGCATTAAAGCATGCATGTAGATGTGCCCTGGCTGAATAACTGCAAGCAGAGAGTAAGTATAAATCAAACAAGGTGAGAATGGCAGGAAGTTTTAAGTGGGGTCTCAGAGGGGCGTGGTTCTGAGTCTGTCAGAATTAGAATTCAAAAGGATCTTGATAGGTTACTGGGCACTAGACAATGAAATGAAATTCAGTAAAGACAAAAAAGAAAACACAATTTTAGCTTTCATTAACAAGACAATTGTATATAAAGTACAAGACATGGGCAGCTGGTGTCACCTTAGTCATGGGGGGCATGTGCCCCCCCTGCAACTAATCCCATCAACCAGGGGTAGTCCCCCCACAGCTAATCTCACTGCCAGAGGGGACCCCTGCAGCCGATCCCACAATGGCCGATTGCTGCGGCCGATCTCTGCAACCGCTTCCAGGAGTGGCTGCGGCCGCTTCTGGGAGTGGCTGCAGCAATCGCCTGGTGCTTGCAGGGGGGACACCAGTGCTCCCGCCTGCCCCCCCTGCCCATCACCTAAGTGGTGAGTGCGACTATTCAGGGGGTGCACGTGCACCCCATACACGTCACCACTGGTACAAGAGGTAAAGTACTATTACTCAGCACTGATCAGGCCTTGTCTAGAGTACTGTATGGCATTCTGGGTTTTGCATTTTAGAAAGGATATCAAGAAAATTTAAAGGACCTAGAGGCAAGCAAAAAAGATGATAAAGGGGTTGTTATACAAGCCATATGAGAAGAAGGTGAGAGAACTACATACATCTAAGTTGGAGAAAATGAAATTAAATAGGAATATACTTGCAGTTTTCAAATATTTAAAAGGTTGCCATGAAGAGACTGCCTTGGTGAGACCGTAACTGAAGTACTGTGTCCAGTCCTGGGCACCACACTTCAAGAAGGGTGTGGAGAAGCTCGAGAGAGAGTCCAGAGGAGGGCCACACATGATTACAGGCCTGGAGACCAAGATGTATGAGGAGAGGTTGAGGAACTTGGGATTATTCAGCCTGGAGAAGAGAAGACTCAGGGGGGACTTGGTTGCAGCCTATAAGTATATCAGGGGCGTACATCAGGGTTTGTGGGAGCATCTATTCACCAAGGCCCTCTGGAGGAGGACAAAGAATAATGGGCACAAGCTGATTGAAAATCACTTCAAGCTAAACATAAGGAA